CTGCTGCCTACAGGAGTACTGGACACTGACAAACCCAAAAACAAACAAACTGTAGGCCAGCCCAAGATAACTCCCAACACTACCAGCATGCCTCAGTTTTGTAGCAAGCAGTACCAAGAACAGGATCATAAACAAAGAGGGGTGGAACCCGTGTGCCCTAATGGACCCCAATACAATTATTTTACCCTTGATAAGGGCATCAGACGTTGGTCTGTAGAGATGTTGTCCCTCAAAAGGTCATGTTTGCTTCTTACATGTAGGTTCCGCAGTCCAGTGACCTACACATGTCTAATGACATAAGACCCATGCGAGATATGAGACTGGAAACTTCCAGCAGACCATCACAACTGTAAAGATACAGCCATTTGTGCCATGCGTTCTATAAGCAAGGATCAACCTCAGCAGTGATGGGGATCCTTTTAAGGAATTGACCAGTAAGCTATAGTTTAGCAAAATAAAGTCACAAGATGGAGAAGTCCCACCAGCCACCACTTATCAATTGGGTCTTAAAAGCCATGTGCAGGATCCAACGGTATTGGTTGCTTTGTCAAGGTGGGACAGATTCGCAGTGGGTGTAGACCATTTTTCTACAAAAATCTACCCAAATGGGGGACAACAAGGCTAATAGGAGCTTGGGGGGAGCAAACAGTTAGTCAAGTTAATTACAAACCCCTTAGAGAAAGATTTGGAAAAGCAGGTATAATTGCAAAAAGTCTTTGTGGTCTTAGCAGCGTTAAAGGTTTCAAGACTGGAAACAGCAGGCCGATCCTATAGTTGCAGTAGCGCTCACCATCAAGAGCAGAAACAATCTCTTAATATGGTAGTGATAGCTGTAGTCTGCAACTCCTCAGGGGTTCAAGCTTATCAGCCAAAGACTAGTTTGATTCAGAGTCAGACAATCTCTGCAGGTAAATCAGATTGAGAATCTGAAGTGGAAGACCTGAAGTGCGCTTGTGTCTTCTGCAATCAAGATAAGCAAATAACTGCATGATATTGGCCATAAGGTCTTGCATGATTGTAGTTAAGACCTCCATGGAAAGTGCAGAGTAACCACTCGCAACCGAGAGAGCTAAAGAGGACTCAGACGATTCTAGGAACAAAGAGGAATAGGATTCCAGGTTGCAGACTTCACCATCAGTGGGCAAGCAGCCCTACAACCATTGGTAGAGAGAGCTGGGGACACCCAGTACAGTGGGACTGTTACCTTACGGTCTAGAATCAGACATGTTGCAGCCAGGTAGCGGTGAGGCAATGTAAAGCTCAGGGTGTGCGACAAGGCATCAGGTACTTCCAAAACCTGTTCAGCTGTAGTAGATGAGGGTTGGGTGGCTGGAGATGATCACCAAGCAACCTCGACACAGTATGGCAGGAAAGAGCAAGGAGCGCATGCAACACTCCACCCAGTGCATAATGTTAACATAAAACCCCTTCTGCAGAGGGAACCAGCAGGAAACAGGGAATTTTTATGATGCTCAAAGACCTAACAAAGTGAGCCTTTAGAGACCAGGCAAGTGCCAGCGGCTCTGGTCCAGAAACAGCACTCCAAAAGCCAGGCTGAAAATTACTGCATCGGATAGCTGCAGCTTAAATGCCAAACTCTAGCAGTGATGTGGAGAAGAAAATACATCCATCCTCTTAGGACACTATAAAGGAAGGCATTCTGGTAGCAGGAGGGGTAATACAGGGCTGGCCTACAGTTTGTTTGTCAGTGTCCAATCCTCTTGCACGTGGCAGTATAACCCTGAAGGTTAATGACTTCCTGTCTCCCTCAACGGACAAGAAAAAATTTAATCAGAACGTGCTGGTAAAAGGCAGCATGATATCTGCTTTATATGCAGAGCTATTAACAGTGCAATAACGAAGACCGTGCAGGGAAAGAAAAATGGCTGAATGTTGCAAAGTGATGATTTAGGTCTTGAAGGGAGTACCCCTTTAATAAAAAGCTTTCCTTTTTTAAAACCTTTTCTACCACAGCCAAATTCACCGACACTATCTTTGCTGAAAGAAGAAAAAAAACAGCTAAAAAGGGATATCACAAGCAGTAAAACAATATGTAAACATGACAGCAGGCAAAATTAGACACTCTAAGAATCAGACTTTAAAACACTTCATTAGAGGAATAACAGATAAGAAATCCATTGCACATAAACCTTCAAAACTACCAGAAATACTGCTCTCTAGCCCTTGTCCTTTGCTCTTTTTGCTGGACCTATATAAATGGCTCTATTGACCCAAGCAGAAAGTTAAGTACATTCAGTCCCAGGAATCGTTGCTATGGTCGACTGAGAATCATTTCAAATCATCTGCTTTAGACTCACATCCGGACTATGAAGTTTTATCCCTGTGAAGGAAACCCAGCAGAAACAAAAAGAGGTGAAGAGAAAAAGAATGGGGTAGCAGAATTTATGACAGTGTGAACAAAACTTTCATTGTTCAGGATATAGCACAGAAAACCTGGCAGAAAAGAAAAGTAAAAGCTGCAGTCAATACACATATAACATGTGGGCAGGCATCCAGCACAATACACATCTTTACATTGTGCTGGAAGCTCTACAGCAACCCGTGTATAAAGCTATCCATACACCTATAGATTATCTGAAGATTTTCTATGGTCAGATGGAAAAAGTGCAACTGATTCCTCCATCTACGCTAAACTGTGTGATTGAGGAATCTTCCACTGGGCCAAGCTTCAGTATCTTGCTAGTCAGCCCCGCTGTCTCTCGAAATTTCTGAACAATGCCGGCATCCAATCAGGTTGTTCAGGTATTTTGAGAGCCAGCGGGCTGACTAGCAAGTTACTGAAGCATGGCCCAGCGGGAGATTCCTCCATCCACACAGATTAGCGTAGATGGAGGAATCTGTTGCACTTTTTCCATCTGACCACAGAAAATTTGCAGAACGTCTATAGGTGTACGGGTAGCTTTAGAGAATATAACAGGCAGATAGAAGAGTTGGCAAGGTGCTTCCAAAAGAAACATTTTTCATGCTCAGAAGACACCACATTCTGGGATTTTTTTTCTTCATTTTCATCAATATAGAAAATGTAAAAGGGTAGTGGTGCTATAATTTTTAGCTACATCTCAACATTACCTTAAAAGGAGAACTATGGGGTTAGGGCTTTTCCCCATAGTTCTCCTTAGGGTAACGGGAGGACACAAACTAGCGTCCTCCCGTCACCCTAAGCTCAGTATACCGCGAGCTGCAGCTCGCGGTATACTGAGACACTGCAGCGGATCCCGACAATTATGTCTGGATCCGCCCAGCTGCGTGAGTGACAGCTGGCTCTGCCTATCTAGAGGCAGAGCCAGCTGTACCCTCCTCCATCCGTTCCGGTAGTCAGCGCTGGAGGATCGGAGCGGGGAGTCCAGCCACTCCCCTGTCACGGCAGAGAGCTGTGACAGGATCGAGAAGTGAGCGAACGCCGGTATGTGTCCGCTCACTTCCCGATCTACTGATCTGACCTGTGACAGTCTCATTGTCACAGGTCGGCTAGAACTAGGAGGTAAGTGAAAAGCACTCACCTCATAGATCTCCTTTAATGTAAATTATCTTGTTACTGAATGATTGAGATCTCTCTCCATATGTATCTTAGTTTGTAATTTTAAAAGTACATGGAGGCAAGAATATCTGCTTATTGCATCTTCCCTCATTGTAAGTCTACAAAACAGGGTACATAAGAATACAAATTCTTAGCCAGGAGGCGTTAATATGAGGGAACAGTTTTTAAAAAGTTGAGAAAAAAAAAAGCAGATTTATTCTCAAATACGAATGCAATAATGCTTCCCACTGATGTCAATGTGATGAATGCTAAACTTTAATGGCAGCTGGTCCTGACCAAACTATAAATTCACATATGTGATGCATTCTGCTCATACCAGTAATACTGGGCCCCTGGACCATTTTGTAAATCCCTATGGATTCTGCAGGTGGAACCTTTGGATGGGCACTTCCTTTGATAGGTTGACAAGCGCATCGGCAGTGAAATTGGAAAGGGTTGTTTCTGTAACGGCTTAGATTCGGACAATGAATAGCCACGCCTAGCTATAGAAGTGTAGGTAAATAATGTAAAAGTCCTTCCCAGTCCCTCCAACCCCTCCATCACTGTCTAGCAAGATGGAGAGAAAAAAAAAATCCAGCTTCCCAGCTGTGTTTGCCTTGACAACTACTTAATATGCCATGCATTGAAAATGCTGATTTATGCTCACATTTATCACTGACCTGAGAGAATAAAAATTAGAGGCTTTAGATTTACTTTACCAACACCTTTCGCTGTCGCCAATGTATGCCATATGGTCATTGGCAAAGGGGACCAGTAAGGAGACTCATGGCTGCTATAGTAATCTCCAGGCCTAAAATGTGCATTTTAAGAAGTGTGCAAAAAAAAAAAATGCAAAAATGGATCTGGCAGGGAAAGAGTAAGTTCACCTTTTCACAAAACATGAAAACATTCACTTTTTTCAATTTTATGTTGCAGTCCGATATAGTTATAGGATATGATTTTAATTTCCTTCATATGATGGGAAGAATCACAATTATCAAATGGTAAATTTACTTAAAGTGACATTAAACCCTCAGATTTTTTTAACATAATACAATACTGTAATGTGTGCCTTACTGTAATCCATGGTGGTTTCCCTTCTCTTTGCTGCTCTTCCTTTTTAAATCTCTCTCTCTTCTCATGCTCTGCAGAACTTCTGTTTTGCAGCAGACTGCCTTGTCTCAGGAATGGATACGCGGTGTCTGTGTATAGGTTTGTATAGGCTTGTAATCTGAGCCAGCACTACAGGAAGAGGCCCTGAGCTGAAAAGGGAAGTTCTGCCCAGCATGAGAAGACATGAGAGCAGCAAAGAGAAGGGAAACTACCATGGATTACAGTAAGGCGCACATTACAGTATTGGTTTATGTTAAAAATCTGAGGGTTTAATGTCCCTTTAAAAAAAGGAAAAGGAGGCGAGTATTGTAATAGCTCCACCGAAAGTTTTTAAAAGATCATATCATACCTTAAAATCAGAAAGTGAGGCCATGAGTTCATCCAGTTCACGTGTGGCAGAAGAGGCAGAGATTCGAGTTTGCTGCTGGTTGGTGCTGACTCTCTGAGGGTTGCCTATCTCTACTTGAGGCACAGTGATTGACGGGCTGTATGGAAAATAGAAGGATGAACAGAGGACAAATACAAACAGACAAACTATTCCTAAAGCAGAGGTACTTACACTGGACTGGGAACAGAGCTCTCTAGTTCATCTAGAAGGCTTTCCACACTTGGACGGACATCCTCTATTCCCCGTGCTCCATTTCGCTTAGGCTTTTCCTTTGAGGCTTGTCCAATCATTATAGCAGAGTTGCCTGGCACGCTGGTGAGAGGGGGAGTCACGGGCTGTAAGATGTTTCTACTCAGGTCATCTGTAGGTATAAACATCACCGAAAATTACAGACTGATGCAAAAGCCGATTTTGAGGACAGGATGAAAAACAGAGATTCCAGCACAAGTACTACCACAGATGCCAACGTGCAGTGACTCAGCCTAACCAGATTTATCATTTTTGGTCAATCTCAAATCCAGAACTGTAGTTCTCATAATTGGCTATAAAACAGGTGACTATGCTATCCACAGCATGGAATTCAAATATTGTACTATAAAAAACAAAACTATTTTCATTAATAAAACTTTAATATGGAATAGAAACTATTTTCAAAGTATAGATATGTTAAACAATCAGAAACAGAAAGTAGTACACAGCAGCAATATACACGTGTCTCACCTGAGGATATGCTACTTGGCGGCCCTTGCTGCACAGCATTCAATTCCAGGAGTAGACGGTCCAACTCTGACAAATTGCTGCCCAGAGACGTGCTTATAATAGTGGGAGATGGCTCTGCAGATCGCTGCTTATTGGGAAAACTGCCCCAAGAACAAAGCAGATCAAATCAAACAAGCGCTCACCGACAGGGAAGATCATTACACAGCTGCACAATATGCCTACCTGTACACATGCTCCTCTTCTCCAGCGGAAGGTGATATAACATTGTCTTTCAGAGCTGAAGAATCGTGAAGGGAATTCTAGGGGGCAAAATTATAAAAGATTGTCAGAAGGGCAACATTTATCTACCAATGTTCAAAATGTGCTTAGACTGAGCTTAATACAGTAAACTCCCCATTACCCGGCATTCAAGCAACCGAAAAAAAGAAGGGGGAGAGAGAATATGTGTACTCAATTTTATTTTTCCGGCGACATAAAAAATGCCGATTGCTATGCACACTAAAAAATTTCGTTAGCAACTAAATGTCATTGCTAATAAAATTCTTTAATTACATCTTGCTGCTGACCGGTGGCTAGATTGTGCGGTCAACAGCAGAATGTAAACAATGGATAGAAAAAGCCAGCCTGCTATAGCAATTTCAAATAGCCAAAAGCTATCTGGCTATTGCTCTTGGCTACTTAAATTCACCTGTCGGCTGCAGAAGGTAGCCAGCAGGTGAATGGGCCTGTGGGAGTGGGAGGGGTTTTATTGCTTGAGAGTTACTATTAACTCTCAAGCTAGGTTGACACCTAGGCGACACCTCACCGCGTGATCAGGAGTTGCCAAGGTGTGAACCGATCGCGCGGTGGGTGCCATTATTTTCCAATTGCACCCCAGTCAAGCCGGGCGGATTGCGCGGGATTTCACCCGTGCTTCCGAACACTAAAACAGCCGCGCATCGTGTAATCACAAAAAAAAAAAACATGTACCTTTTTTTCTGCGATTGCCGCTATTTGAGAGTGGAATTTAAAATACCAAGTGCAGGGCTGCACTGCTGTGTATCAAGCACAGATAGGACACCAGCAGCCGCAGAGGGGAAAGGAACGTTAGCTCCAAGGTAAAAGCACCAGGGGTGAGGGGGCAGGTTGGCAGAGGGAGCAGATTGGTGGGAGTATTCCATTTTCCCAAATTTGCCTGGGAAAGTGGAATTAGCCTTTAAAGTTGTGTTTCCCACAGTTCAAACACCGCTCCACTCTATTCCTCTATGTCCGTGGTTCTCAACCTTTCTAGGGCCGGGACCCCTTGGTAACATTTGCCAAGTTGTGGTGACCCCCCAACGGTAAAATTTAGGGATGACGGGGCTGCTGCAGCGACATCTGGCAGCGTGGTGGGAACTGACACTGCTGCGCTAGGAGAGGGCTGAGAAGGACTCTCACCTAGCACAGCAGAAATCACACAGCCACCCACAGTGTAGAAACCTTCCACAGGAAAGTTCTCTCTCTTTTATTGACCTGGATTATTATATACAATATACAGTATATCTATCCGCGATATACAACACGTCACACAATGCACAGGACACAGAAACATATGAATTGGGCACTAGGACTTGATGAAGCTTACAAGCTCACAGGGATAGACCCCCACACCACACACAAACACTATGACAGACACACACACATTCAATGACACAGTGACACACTGACAAACAGTGACACACTGACAAACAGTGACACACTGACATACAGTGACACACTGACATACAGTGACACACTGACATACAGTGACACACACACATACAGTGACACACACACATACAGTGACACACACACATACAGTGACACACACACATACAGTGACACACACACATACAGTGACACACACACATACAGTGACACACACACATACAGTGACACACACACAGACTAGTACCTGCAGCTCGGGACCAGGAGGCAATGACAGAGAGGAGAGAACGGCTCCTCCCACAGGGCAGAGAGTGGCCCTGAGGAGGTAGTGTGAGACTCCAGAGAAGGCACATGGCGGGGGACAGCTGGAGACACAAATGTGGGATGAGCGGCACCGAAGTCAGCACAGGGGGCGGAGCTGAGATCATTACAGCAAAAGCCCGGAGCCCAGTCCACTCAACTACATGATTACCGCCGGGTCTGCCCGTTTCAATATTGTGCTCCTCCCGGCCAGCCCGCTTATCGCTACCCGGCGGCCCCCGTTGTTATGCCACTGACTCCCGGCGACCCCTGGCAAATTGTCATTCGACCCCCGAGGGGGTCCCGACCCACAGGTTGAGAACTGCTGCTCTATGTGGTGTTTCCAATGCTCCCCGTCTATCAGTAGGTGGGAGTAGCACACTCCTGAGCAAATGCTCGCTTGCCATCATGGCTCATTCATTCATTGTTCAGCCTGACTCTTGTCTTCAGTGAAAATTAGATGACCATTGGCTAGAGCTTTAAGTATGTTTTATTTAGCCAATTACAGGAGACCCTCAGAAGGTGTGCGTGTGTGGGGATATTGGGGCTGTGCGCATCCTGGACAGTTCAATGTCTCGCCCTTCAAGCAAGACTAGATGGTGCTGGATCACAACACCAATGAATATAGCATGGAGCAATGCCAACAGCATTGTAACAAATGCTCTTCAGTTAGTGGGCAATTGTAGGAGGAAGTTTATGGTTAGTGTAGTTTTAAAGGGTATGTACACCCCATCAGCCATACAGTCGGTGCATTGTATTTAATGAGTTGGCCGAGTAGCAGAACAAATATGTAAAGATCAAAACACAGGGGCTGCCAGGTACATATGTAGTTGCAAATTATAAAAATACCCATTCTTTTGTACATGTTCTGTAGAATTTTTGTATTGCTGCACTCCAACATAAATAATTATGCTGCACTCCAACATTTCTTTCTATATTTTCAATATTCATGCATTTACAAAGCATTAGTTTTGATACCCTCTATTATACGAATAACAAAAATCATCAACTGAGCCTCAAAGCCATCTACTTAATATTTACCTGCTGATGTGAATATTTATTGGAGCTGCTTGACCAGGAATCCAGAGGGTCTGCATGGACTGTTCCATTGAGGGACTCGTTCGCGGGTGCAGCTGTCACAGAAATTTCTTGGTAGGTATGGCACCCACTGGGAAAGGAATATGGGGTCTCCTCGGATAAGAAGACAGGCCGCTTGGCAATATGAGATGTAGTAGATTCCAGGTCAGCAAGCAATGCATCTGCAATATAAAAATTCAGAGAAATATACAGTCATAAAATTGTA